TCCATTGATATGATATGCCCTAAGAAGGTAGTCTTCTCGAGGCAGAACCCGCACTTACTCAACTTTACAAACAACTTTTTTTCTCTAAGAACTTGCAAAACTTGAGTCAGATAGTGAGCGTGTTCCTCTCTGCTTTTTGAATATATCAGGATATTATCGATAAACACAATGACAAACTGATCTAGAAATTATCTGAAAATCATGTTCATCAAATCCATGAAGATGGCTGGTGCTGGTAATCCAAATGGCATGACCAGGAACTCATGGTGTCCATACCTGATTCGGAAAGCTGTTTTGAAAATGTCTTCTGCCTTGATCTTTATCTGATGGTAACCTGAACATAAGTCTATTTTGGAGAAGATCTGAGTACCCTACAACTGATCAAAAAGGTCATCGATCCTGGGGAGGGGTTACTTGTTCTTGATTGTGACTCTATTCAATCTCTTGTAGTCAATACATAATCTTAACGTCTCATCCCCCTTCCTTATAAATGTGACTTCAACACCCCAAGGGAACACACTATGTTAGATGAACCCACTATCCTACAATTCATTGATATGTTTTCTCAGCTTTTCTATCTCAACATGACTCATGCGATAAGGGGCAATCGAAATAGGCTGGGTGTCTGGCTGAAGATCTATGATGAATTCAACTTCTCTGTCCACTGGCAATCCTGGTAGTTCCTCAAGAAACATATTTGGGAAGTCTCGAACTACTGGGATCTCTTGAATGCAAATTTCTTTATTAGGTTTGTCTAGTTAGAGAAAATAACCGAGTTAAAGTACTATGTAATATGAAAATTTCTATGAGTGAATAATATTCAAAACTTTTATTAGTTTGTAAATGACTCTTCATTATGAGGCTTAAATACAATTTTTTTCGTAGAGATAATCTACGATAGTGTAATACGTCGATAACCAGTTCATCCTTGAAAATACATAAGGGTCTCCCATGTCAATCTCTATCAGGTCCATCATGGGTAAAACCGAGTCTTATGGAAGAGGGACCAGATGTTGCTGGGGAGGGACCGAGTGGCCTTGTAACGGTGCCGGATGATACGGTGGGGGCTCCGAATTATATTGTGACGGTGTCGGATGATACGACAGAGGAGCAAGGTTGCATCGAGGTGGTGTTAGATCTTCTCATTGTAAGGGTGGCTCAAAGTGTGGAAATGGTGGAGGGTCAGACAGTTCCCTTATCTCTTTCCTGGCCTACTAGACATAGATGAGTCTCTCTAGAATCTCAAAGAGTTGATCGACATCCTCTTGAAGCAACCTGTCTTGGGTTGCCCTGTTCAGTAAGGGACCTCATCTCCTCGTGTCTTTGTACTTATTTTTCATAAGGAATGGTTGGATGATATTTCGTATTTGATGTTTTTAAGTCTTTATATAAGGAATAGTTTCGAGAAACGCGACTCTAATACAAAATGCAAAGGCATGGAACTTAAGGAAATAAAGTCATAAATTAAATGCGAAAGGAAAATAATAGAGTTTAGGATTTATATTCCTTACGCAATAATTTAAAATGCCCAATAGGGTTACGAGAATGTCCATATAAAAGAACAAATGAAAATAAAAAAAAATAAACAAAAGACAATGTACTAAGCATTCTAAGACAACATTCACTAGCTTTTGAAGGGAGTTCGGGTGGTAAACTATTCACAACCCTCTTGTTGATCGGGATCTGAGTATTAGTCCTCTTAATCTGAAATAATTAATGAAAAGATGAGCTATACTACCCCACTAAGAATATCACATTACTCACCGATACAGAAACTAAAGATTGGTAAAATTCATAAAAATAACCAATGGAGCTATTGGTTTAAGTAAATTCATTTACTATGAAGAAAATTTATTTATTGCATATATTTACTATTGCGAGATTTTCAAAATCGACCTATAGAGACAATAACTCAAATAACATTCTAATCTCATATTCAAGTGAGTAAGAACAACAACTTTTCCTTTTTATTTGCCTACTGGTATCCTTGGGGACTCATAGGGATGTCCCACTATGCGTGAACTAATATCCAACATTATCAACTAATTGGCCGTCCCATACCCTATCCGGTATGAGCGCCAAAAATACTATTTCTCGATACTCTATCTGTAATGAGGCAATGTTTACAGTAAGGATCCTTATGTACCCGGTCCGTCCACCATCTCCAATGATATCTAGTAAGGCTACCATTCATTAATTCACATGACCAAACAATTTTTCGTTTGATATTAATTTTTAATTTCACAAATCAACCGTAAATCACGCAAGACAAGCAATATATATATATATATATATATATATATATATCAAGGAAGCACAACTGAGTCATTTAACCATTCCAGTATACCATCATGTATTTAAAATTATAAATTCAACGATAAGTTAAATAGGACAAATAAAGAATTAACTAGTTCCGGCTCCATTAGTAACTTGTAATTATTTTTAAAATTTTTTAAATTATATAAAATATCATATTATCGATTATTAAGTTTCAATTTCATAACAGAGAATAAGATGAGAGATTCTTACTCGAGTTGGTGTCCCAAACACCGAACTTTCTACTGCACCTACTGGCAGTCTACGAATTTCTTGAATTTTTCTGCGGAGGTTAAAACATGTTTTACGTACCTAAAAATACCCCAAAAATCTAAAATCGGTATTGAAAATTTTTTTCTAGCCAATTTCAGGATTCCGGCACTGCGACACCGTCATGCTCCAGCAACAACACCATCGTTCGCAGTGGCAATTTGCTTCAACCTGGCCATTTTCGACCCGTTTTGGTCAATTTCGGCCGATTTTATACCCATCAATACGAGAAAACACGTTAGGGAGCCTTGGTTGGCCAAAAAAAGTCAAAAAATTAGAAACCTACTGGTGGTGAAATTTTTCGGTGCGACGGATCCATCAGCTCACCTTCGCGGCTGGACATTTTTTTTTGTCAACCTATAGAAAACTGAACGATGAACACAATGGTGAAAAAATCGCACGAAAAACGGGAAGGGGCTCATCCGAGTAAGTTACAGGTTTTGCCCGCAGTTTTTGGCTCACACACCGTTCCTTGTACTCTGATTTGGCCATGGGGATGCTCAAAATCAAATTCGAAGCGGATAAGAGAATTTTTACATTTTTTGACGGTCGAAGGTGGCTCCGGCGTGGCGGCGGTCAGCTGCCTTCTCTGGCGACTGGTTCTTCTTCTCCAGTGGGAGGTTTTGGGTTCAGTGCAATGCAAAATATTTATAAATGTCTCGCGTTAATCTAAATCATTCATTGTGTTTGATCTCGATCGTTTAATCGCGTTTAAAGAGAAAATAAATATAGACCGTTCATTGCGATTTGATCTCGACCGTCTGATCGCACCTGAGGAGGCAACGGATCCGGACTGTCCACGCGCGCAGGAATGCTTCCAAGTCGTCTGATCGCGAGGCACGCGGATTGCCAGCATGGTCTCCTACGTGGCACCAAGTCAACATGCCTTACCACGTGGTACGCTCCAGTTCGTAGAAGCTGCTGACTGAGCGGTTCTACGTGGCAAAATTTTTTTTATTACGTTCTGACCCTCAATTTTTTATTTTTCTTTCAAAAACATCATTCAAACCCAAATTTTCATCCATTTTTTCTAAAATTATTTTTAATTTCATACCCAACCTATTTTGTTTCCATAATTTCACATTAAATTAAAATTTACTAATTTTAAAAATTAGTTTTTATACATTTTTTAATGTTAAAATTAATCCCTGACTAAATTTCGGGCAAGATATTACAAATATTGCACATGAATTTATTTCATTCAATTTTTAATGATTTAATATAATTTTCTTGATCCTCTTATTTACACTCTCTATTTAATAGCTTTTTAATTTTAGACTCCAAACAGTTTTTATTTATTATTTGTTTCATTTGGTTTCTTACATAAACATTTTGAAAGTCCATAATTAGTTAATTATCATATTAATTAAAAATATAAGTGAAAATCTAAGTTTTATTTTATTGGAATTTTCTGTTTTTTATAAATTTAAACTAAATTATTTTTTATATGAGAAACAAAATTATTTTAATAAAGAAAAAGGTACATTGTAATTTTAATGTGCTGCAATGCGTATAAAATATATCATATATATTAATTAATATTTTTCAAACTAATGAGTAGGATGATATAAAAATAAGGTATGGGCTTTCTTTGTCATTTTATATCTACTAAATAGATTTTCAAATACTATTTTACTGTCTATAATATTGTGGTTTATGTTATATTAAGTGAAAAATAATTAATTTACAATTATATATGGGCAATATAGTAAATTAAAGTATATAGGTGAGTGTAAATTTTTTCAAAAGTATAATAGTAAATATAGTTGAACTTGAGGATGGTGAATCAAATTTCCCAATTGATACTTATGCTAGCAATGTTTAAAGAGAATTTAAAAAGTGTGTAGAAAATCCATATTAGAAACTTCATTTAAATATTAACTCATAGAGAGAGAGCATAAAAATTCATTCCCAATTTCATTTGGAGCTTGTAAAAAAAATTAGAGTATGCCTTTTCAATACCTCTCTAGCTAAAAGTGTACTATATAGAAAGTCAATTATTTTGTCAACTAACCATTCTAAGAAAAACTTATACAGCGAAATTGAGTTTGCAATATCTCTTTCCAATATATGCAATAATTTAGCTACATTACTACATCTGAGCTTGTTTAAGTAATTTATTAAACTTTTAATTCCATTGATTATATTAATATGAATAAACTAACTTCTTATATTTTCCATGACTTAAGCTCCCATTAGGCTTGCAATAATATCTTTCAAATTAGTTCAGCCATAACCAAAAAACTCTCCCTATATTTTTGCATAAACCAAGCTTACTTTCACAACTTTTGCTCGCTACAACTTTACCATCAATTTTCTCTGTCATTTCATTTCCGTAGCTTTACATGCAGGTGCTTAGACTGTACGCATATATATATATCTTACACACTAGCAGGATTTCATGGGACAAAAAGTTGTGAACTACCATCAAAACTAGTCTGTTACCATGTTAAAAATAAGAATTTAAGACTGGAACATGAATGGTAATAAGATAAAAGAAACAAATAAAACTAGGGAAGATCAATTTTCGTCTTCCTTGGTCGATTCTCTTTGTTTATCTAACCAGGATACTCCTAGTTGCCCATGGAGTTGATACAACCCCGAGCCACGAAAATAATACAACTTCGTGTACCTTATCAAAATGTAAATACCTCTAGGGCTTTTGCTTTCTCTCATTCTGATAGCACTTTCAAGAATCATAGGATTGTTGCTCTAGACTGACATCTCCCCACTTAACATTGTATCTTGCAGCCAGATAGTGAGCACCAACAGGGCCCCGGCTACCATAAGGATAATATTCAGGGGCAGTCTTTTTCTTTTCTAACTCTTTCAAAACAGGAGTGAATAGGGCCCAAGCAGCATCCAGCTCATCACTTCTTATAAACAGTCGCCTTTCCCCTTCAATAGCATCAAGCAGAAGCCTCTCGTATGCATCTGGAATCTCCTTCGAATATCTATGACCATGGTGCCAGACCATTTAGACATTTATACCATGTCTGGAATAAATAAATTCCCCAGAAAAAGTGAAATTTATTTGCAAATCCCCATATTTTATATAACCATAATATATGGAACCAAATAAGTCTTTCAAATTCAATTGAGTTTAACTGAATTTAAGAATGGGCTTAACAGTTTGGAGAAAAGAAAAGGCTTGTTTATGGTTTGCATGTGTTTTTGTGTTTGCCTAAAATTAGTGATTTAGTTGAATTTACCAAAATATTTCAAATAGTAGAATTTATTTAAATCATCAAAACGCATTTGCAAATGGATTTTATATTTAATTAATTTACAAATGACATGAAACTTCAATTTTTGTTAGTTCCCCGCATAGCCTTATGGTAAAAATCCCAGCTTAGGTAATCTTTATGGGGTATAATTTTTAGAAATGGATTATCATTAAAGACCAACTAAATGTGGTATTTCTTTCATGTAAGCAGGATTAGTGTTTCAGGTCAAGAGGAGAGAAGACTGTTTCAGGAGCACAATAAAATCGGAAACTGATTTATAACTTTTACCTTGCAGCATAGTGTAGATTTAGATTGCTATGGTCCAATCTCATTCCCAAACCAGGGACCTTGTTATTAATCTTCAAGTATATAGCTTCATCAGGTTGTACTCGGATAACAAGTTCGTTTGTCGATTTGTCAACATCTGTACCAAAGCTTCGGCTATACAAATTGCCAGGGACATGTCTAAACTGCACTCTTATCTCTGCCCTGTGAAAAGATTTGCGTCAGCGACATATGGATCAATGCAATTCAAGTTGAGAAATATGCAAACGAGGGTGTCTTCTTCTATTCTGCACACCTCTTAGTATGTAATGCCTTGCCAGCCTTCATCAGAAAAGGCACTCCATCCCATCTTGCATTGTCAATAAAGAGAGCAGCTGCAGCAAAAGTTGGAGTCAAGCTGCCTTTTGGCACAGTTTTGTCATCAGTATAGGCTGGGTAAGTAACTCCACCTTTAGTGTGGCCCCTGTATTGCCCTACAACTATGTCACTGAGTCGTAAAGGCCTCATTGAACGTAGAACTTTGACCTGGAATCCGGCAGACAGTTCAACTCATCAATTTAGTCAGAATGTATCCAGTAAGGAATCTGGAAATTACTGGTATTTATGTAAAAAGGAAAAAACCTTCTCATTCCTGATATCCTCAGCATCTAAGCTGACAGGTGTTTCCATGGCAAAGAGAGCTAATATCTGAAGCAGATGGTTCTGCATTATATCTCTTATTATTCCATAATTGTCAAAAATACCCTCCCCGTCCTTCAGTGCCAAAATCTTCAGAAAATATAAACTGTACATTCCTTATATACTGCCTTGACCACAATGGTTCAAAAATAAAGTTCGAGAAGCGAAGGACAGATAGGTTTTCCACTAGCTCCTTTCCCAGATAATGATCTATCCTGTAGAGAGCATATCCATCTAATCAGCTATGTTGACTATATTTTTTTAGCATAAAAATAAGAGCATCCTAGGAAACTCCACCTGAATATCTGATCTTCTGCTAGATACTGCTTCAGGGATTTTGTTAATGCAGCTGAGGATTCTGAATCTCGACCAAAGGGTTTTT